GTCAGACCAACCTGCCCTGATACAAGCACATTCGGGCATTGGCAGGAGTGACCTGCCCTGAAGCTTCCTCAAGGGCTAGCACGTGCAGGCATTGGCAAGAGCAGCCTCCTGGACGGGCCAGCACTATATAAGACTGGCCCGCCCTACAGGTTGGGACAGACGAGAGGAGACTGCCCAKGCACTCGATGTGCACTTCTGCAGGAGGTAGTAGTCTTCAGGATTCGGCTGCAATAGTAGAGTAGCGTTAGCARTAGTCTTCAGCGCTGGGCGCTAGTARCAGTAGGCTAGAGTAGTGGAGAGAGGAGGCTGGCGGAGGCCAGGGMTACTTACCTGTGGCACCATAGCTCCAGCTTCGTCTTCAAGGTACCTGCAGCAGGACGCCACCTTCAGGGTGACTTACCTGTGGCGCCATAGCTCCAGCTCGTCATCGAGGTACCTGCAGCACAGCGTCACCATCACAGGTTAGTACCTGGCTCCGGAGAGAGAGAGAGAGAGAGAGTTCTTCTTCTTCCTCTTCTCAGTCCACCATCTCCCTCCCTATCCTCTCACTGTCTGACTTCACTGCTTCGGCAGACTACGAGAGTGAGAGTGGTTACTTGCAGAGGTTACAGGCGGGGATTGTCACGGGCATTGGGCCCWGGATCTGGTTCGACATTTTTGGGCAGACATTGGTTGGACTTCGGCCAGAGACTATTCCGAACTCCGCTATTGCGATCTTGAGTCTTCTCCCTTGCCTCCATCTTCGTCCTTCCCTCCCCCTCCATCTCTCATCCGTGGTATCTCCCCATRTGTGTATGCAGGAKGGACCTTCGTCTATGCATGCGTCCCTCCTCTCCCTCTCACATGTGTGATGTATGATGGGATGTCGTAACAGTCCAGGTCAGGTCAGGACTTATCTCAAAGTCTTCTGCTGTGCTATCAAATGCCATTTTTCATGTATCGGGATGTACATTGTCTGTTGATGTTTCACTAACACTACATTGTCGATTCAGTCCTTTTCATCACAGTGCGGATCCTTGGCTGCATACATAGCCCAACTTGGCATGTAACAAAAGCCCTCCAAGCTAAATGGGAAGTCAAACTATTGATGAAGCCAGAAACCGCATGGAACGAATTGGCATTAGACAACATCAGAGCATGGACACCAATAGCCTCGCTGGAAAACATGACTGGTCTGTTTTGGGTAATGACTAAGGAATGGAAGCTGAAAGCAAGAAGGAGAAGATAAAGAAGGGGACCTAATCTAGACACAGTCAGACACCCTACCCCATACTGGGCGGCTCTGATTCGGATCTGGAGAGAAATAGTACCAAAGAAGTCCAACAGACCAAGATCCATAGATGAGGTTTTAAGATCCTAATCACATCTTTTTTCCTTCCCCTGTCATACCTCCACCAATTTCCCCCCTCGTTTAACAGCCCAGTACAGTATCAGATGGCAGTGGAAGGCACGCGCTCTTATTGGAGGAGGAAGAACACGGGACTTCTGGAAGGCAAAAAAGGGAAAGGTAACACACGGGACCCCCAAGAGACTTCTGGAAGGAAAGGTGCTGCAGAACTTTTGGAAGAACACTGGACTTCTGGAGGGAAAGGTGCTGCAGAACTTTTGGAAGACCGTACACCCCCAAGGGAGAAGGTACGGGAGGAGGCAAGGTCTTTGAGTCAAGCAGAGATCCTGGGTATATGGTACAAAACGAGAAAGCCCATGCCTGATGAAGAATAGTAGAGGAGAATTAAAAGAAAATTCTTCACAGAATGGATGGCAGGAGGCAAGGCGACAACGCTGACTGACTTCCATACACAATGGAAAGACCGGCTAAATTCTGATGCGGGGTGGAAAAGACAAGTGCTCCAGGCACCAAAGGAATAAGACCCACTGCAGGCCTTACGAGCTGACGAGCTAAGATGGTTCTGGGGATTCCTTGCAAAACTTCAAAAGGAGGGTTTAGGGTTTAGGGTTTGGGACCGCTTTGTAAACAGATTTAAGGAGAGACAAGCCGGTTTTGAGACATACGGACAGGTTTTCAAGGAGGGGTTACAAGGGTCAGCTTGAGTAGCTGCTTAGCTCTTTCTAGTTTTTCACGATATATCTGGCAGGTTAGCTAACAGACCTGAGAGGAAAGAGAAAAGCAGGGCAAGCTGACAGTCAATCCTCCACTACGTTGGAGTAATCAATGATGTTTAGGGGTCCTTCGGCAAGATCGAAGGAAGCGTGAGTGCGTTACTGTTATAATGTTTATTCAGACTTGCCGGTGGAATAGGAACCGGACTCACGTTCCCCAGAATGGAAAAGGAGCCAGGATCATAACTTCATAAGGTTCAGTGGCTTATCACATACGAGGAATTGCCTGTGAATCAATGGCTGCACATAAGATGCCACAAAAACGATCCCACTAGTTCGGACCTATGCACAGTCTGTACAGAAGGGGCTCAGGAAGATGTAGTACACTGCCTAATCCAATGTAGCGAGGCAACGGATTACTGGGCACGGGCCTCAGCCCTTTGGGAGTCCCTTTTCCGTGCCCCTTTTCCCGAGCATCCCATCCAACTTCTCCTCTGGACTAACATTCCTGACCAGCTCCAGAAGACAGAAAGGTTGTGGTTCGGCCTGATAAGGAAAGTGGCGTTATGGATCATTTGGAAAGAGAGATGCTACAGAACCATCGAAGGACTTTCCAACCCAAGAGAGAAGGTATGGGCGGAGACGAAAACCATACTACAGGCTGAAATTCTTTGCAGATGGCAGAGGTTAAAGCAGTCGATGCCTGAGGACGAGGATCTGCAGAAGAAGGTTAGGAGGAAGTTCACCAGGTTGTGGTTGGTGAACGGTAAGGTGGTTGAGCTACGGAATGACGGAGTAGTTTGGAAACACTGGCACAATTCAGAGACGGCCTGGAGAGCCCAGATGGTGCCTGCGGTGGATAGGCAGTTGAGTTGAAGCGAGAAAGGGTTACCAGCTACCAGGGAAGAGAGTCAAGAGGACAGTCGCAGACGCTGCAAAGACTGGTTCAGACCGGGCATGCAATCAGAAGGGCTTAAGGCTACATAGATAATCACGGAGAAAGGGCAAGCGGGAGAGAGTACAGATCTACCACATATCCTGGTACAGGTCGGAACACACGGGACTGGGAGAACAGGTTATTATAGACGTTATGAATCTGAAAGTGAGAAGACATAAGTGACCATGAACTACAGTCTGCAGGTTGTCTCAATGAAAGCGCAACAGAGAAGGTGTACCATTAGAAGGAATAGGGGAGGGGATAGGATTAAACAGCTGGTAGCGACTCAAGGGCTTAGGGTTTAAGGGTTTTGGCCAGCTGGTAGCAGCTCAAGTTAGTGGAATCATTGTAAACAGGGTTCAGGCTACTGGATAGAGGTTACAGGGATGCTAAGGTGTGGGAGTGCTCGTAGTTGGCTAAGGGCCTTTCGTTGTAGCTGACAGGTTCCTACAGGGGGCCTGAGAGGGAAGGACTTAGCAGGGCAAGCTGACAGCCAATCCTCCATATAGATGGAGCAATCAATGCTGATCAGGGTTCCTTCGGCCGCACGGAAGGAAGTGTGTGGGTGTGTTCATGTTGTATTATTCTCTTTGACTTGCCGGTGGAATAGGAACCGGACTGATGCTCCCAAGAATGGAAATGGAGCCAGGGCCATAAGGACCTGTTAAGGGGAAAAAAAAGAAAAAAAAAGAAAAAAAAGAAAGTGCTAGGATCTGCCTCCAGCCACAAATCTGAGTCTCCTTCCTCTCCAAAGTTCCTGCCTGATACCCTTGTTGCTCAGCATAGGACACTGTTGTCTGCATCAGGACTACTCCATTGGTCGTGAGGTATCTTGGTCCTCTCCTAGCACCTTACGAGTTGTGCCAGTCCTTCCACCGTAGATAAGAGTTCTTTATCTCTGCAACTTTTCCTTCAGTCAGCCAGGTCTTGGTAAGCTTTAACTGTGCTGTGCGTTGTGGCTCATCCTCGTCTGGTAGGGAAAGTCTCGCCTTGTGCCACTTGCATAAAATCTCTGCCTGAATCAAATTCTTAGTCTCCGCCCACACTTTTTCCCTCGAGTTTGACGCACCCTCAATGGTCGTGCCACTTCTTTCCTTCCAGATGGTCCATAGTGTCGCCGTCCTGATCATTCCGAACCAGATCTTCTCTGTCTTGTTCAACTGGGCAGGGATGTTAGCCCATAGTAGAAGTTGGAAGGGATGTTCGGGGAGGGGAGACGAGACTAGAGACTCCGTGTCCAATCTGAACAAGGATGTAGAAAGAGTGGTTCTCGATCTGTTCCTTTTCAGGAAAGTAAGAGTCATCGGTTCATGGCCCAAAACAATTTTCAGGATGGACACAGCTGCAAGGAATATGAGTGTGAACGATATACAGAAAACCAAGCTGCGAAATCACACAGATGTCCAAGTAGTCGTGTCCAAGCAGAGAGTACAAATGCACCGAGAAAACCATCCATATAGAGCAATACAATGAAGTAATGAGTCAATGTCCAAACCCGTAGGCCACACCCAGACAGTATCCAAAGTCGCTCTTCTCTGTCTGGCGCCCAGCGCCCAACCTACTCTGCCCGACTATCCTACCTACAGCTGGTTCACGCAACAGGCTCACTTCGACTCTCGAAGACCAATGTACATGACTGTCAACTCCATAGTCGACCTCTCTTCATGCAACAGGTACGTATCTCGTCACCCTCAATCAGACCTTGATTACCCCACACTCGCCTCCTACACTGAAGACCACTCGATCGCCCGCCTTAACCCCTGGCGCCCGGCAGCCCGGCTATGGCCGCATGCGCCCTGCTGCCCTGCAGCGCCCCACTTCACCACTACGCGGCCCGTCAGCTCCCTTGGCAGCAGCGCAGCATCAAGCGAGAGCGCAGCAGCACTTTCGCATTGCCAGCACTGGCCAGAATACCTGGTGTGGGCTGCCTCACTTCTTTTATGGAAGTGGCAGCCTCCTGGATGCTGCGTGTGGCCTGCTGGAAGCTTCCAGTAGCTTCCGGTTGGGCCTCAGACCCTGTGCCCAGGCCCGAGACTACAATTGAAAGCCTGGGCCCTTTTCAGTTGGGCACGACCTGAGTCTCTGGACTTGGGCTGTTTGCTGCATCTCTGCAGGGCTCCCAGGCAGGTGCGTCGATGGTACTGCTTTTGCAAAGGCCGATGGCCTGCTTCCCAATGTATCGGCCCTGCTTTGTGTATATGTGCCCAGGTGCAGCTGTCAAAGCCTGGGCCAACTGTATGACGTAGCTTTGTGAGGCTCACGCGTCTATCCAACCAACTGGCGTGCTGCGAGAGCCTGAATACCCACATATGGAAATGTCGAATTTTGCCTCCGACGAATATTCAGGCCCTCGTTCACTTAGGGCGGGCACTTGGCTTGCTGGGGTCCTTAGCCCAGATCATGTAATGTCTGATAGGGCCCCTTGAGGGCTTGTTCCTCGCATTCCATCCCCCTTAGCTTCGAAAGTCCACTGAGATGCTTCATGCTGGTGCCTTCCCCTTCAGTTTCTTCTCATAATCTGCCACAATCTGAGGAGCTGTCTTGACAAGTTCCTCCCTTGAAATCCATCGATCTTCCTTCAGATCAGTATGATGCCTGAAATGTACTTTGTACTTCCTTGCAGATTTGGGAGGTCTTCCCCTGCCAGGTGGCCACAGAGTTCCCTCTCGTAGGTGGACTTTGCCAACTTCTTTGATGGCATCTTTTTGCTCATGTACTCGACCGGTCTCAACTTTTTCCCTTCCTGCTGAGCCAGCAATGCGCCAATGCCATATTGGCTTGCGTGAGTGGTTACAACGAATGGCCTTTGCGGGTCGGGTACCATGAGAACCTCATGATGTGTGAGAGCATGCTTCAAATGCTTGAAAGTTGCCTCACACTCGTCGGTCCAGTCCCATGGTGTGTCAAGTCGAGTTAGATCAGTCAAGGGAGATGCGATCGTACTATAATTCTTTACGAAGTTGCGGTAATAACCACACATTCCCAAGAATGATTTGACCTCAGTCACAGACTGGGGTCGTGGCCAGTCACGTATGCTAGCCGACCTTGCATCTTCGGGTCTAATCCCATCCGCGGATACTTCATGACCCAAGTACAAGATTCGAGTGCGATCGAAATCGCATTTCTTTAGGTTTATCTTATACTTGTGCTGCCGAAGGAGTGAAAGTACCTTGTCTACATGCTGAGCATGTTCCTCGACTGTCTTACTAAAGATAAGTATGTCGTCGAGGTATGCGACAACAAACTTATCCAAGTAGTTATGGAAGATCCTATTCATGGCGTGCTGGAATGTACCCGGCGCATTGCATAGGCCAAAGGGCATCACCACAGACTCGTACAGACTGTACCTGGTCGGAAATGCGGTTTTGTGTTGGTCCTTTGGTCTTATGGCAATCTCATGGTAACTGGATTTTAATTCTATCTTGGTATAGTACTTACACCCCTGCACCCTATCCAATAGGTCGTCGATGCGTGGTAGAGGCTTTGCATTCTTAACGGTGATGGCATTGAAGCCTCTATAATCAATGCACATCCTTAGTGTTCCCCCTTTCTTTGGAACAAATAATACTGGTGAGCCAAAGGGGGAAGTGTTAGGCCGAATCCAACACTTTTCTGTGAGCTCTTTCAGTTGTCGACGAAGCTCGTCCAACGCGCCCGGAGCCATCCTATAGATTATTCCCTTAGGTGTCTTGCTACCTGGGATGATCTCTATTTCATTTACAACCTCCTTGTCGACGACTCTGTAGGCTCCTCAAACAAATCGGGGTACTTAGCGACGATGGTCTCTATCTCTGGGGGTGTTTTAACGGCCTCCCCTTTCGCAGAGACATAGACTAAGTACATACCTTCCTCCTGGTTCTGTTTATAATAATTGTAGAAGACCGTTGCACACAAACACCCATGAGAGTCTATCAACGTACTAGCTTTATACTTAGCTAGTCTAACGGTTCTCCCATTAGGCAATTCGTGCTTCAACACTTTCTTGTCCCAGTCAAACTGGGGCTTGGCAACCTCGAGGTAGTACATGCCCAACAACATGTCGAAAGGCAACTCGTCGCTCACCAGGAAAGATATCTTATGATTTAATTTTCCTCCTGGGTAGGAAAAAGTGCAGACTACATCTTTAACGTAGTCCTCCACCATCATGCGCTCTTTGTTGGCCAAAGTAGATGCTACCGGTCTACTAAGGCGCTGCACCCGGTCCTTTAGGCGCAGTCTCTCAACGCAGTCGCGACTTATGAAGTTTCGCGTGGAGCCAATGTCTACGAAGGCGCCGCACTTGCAACCACCCACACCAACTTCCACAACGAAGTGCTCCCCTCTATGACCTCTACTTAGTGCCATTCAGGACTCACGAGGGTCCCTTGCCGACCACTCACCTTGAAGGTCCTCTAAGGCTTTAGACACATCCAACGTATAGAGCATAGTTGGGTCTAGATGTGCCTACAGGGTGACTAAAGGGCCAACTCTTGAAACGGGGAAGGTACATCACCCACTTCAACGAGAGTAGAAGCAGCTACAACTTCTACTGGCCCTAAGTGTTTCCCTAGTTAGAACTCGTAGGGGCCCCAGACTAAGAAGAAGGAAACCCACCCTTAGGAAGGATTTTCTGCAAGACCTTCGAGTTCTTGCACTTAAACTGCGTATGTTCGTACTCGCCACAGTTTATGTAAGCACCACGTGACCAACGGTCCTGCCACACTTCTTGATCCAAGCCTGTTCTAACCCAAGCAGCTATTTTGTTTGGGTTAGCAGCCTGCCCCTGACTCCTTTGTTGACCGCCCTTGCCGCGGCCCGCTGCCTTAGTCTTAACTAATGCGGCAAGGTTG